CCTATTTTGTACCCTCAATACATATATAATAGCGGTTTTATTATTATTATTCCGTTTTATTCCATCTAAGTGTAATTAATAAGAATATTTTCGATGATATTTATTGTCCGTTTGAATCTCGCGCAAGTTGTAACGAAGAATTCTGTTCTCTGTTTTCCTTTCTACGCTTCCTTCGCTCATGCTGTTCACGCCGCTTACGCACTTTATTTCATTATTTCTGCTGGCCACTGCTGGCGACGGCACTGTGCGGTGCTGTATTTGTATACAAATAATTGTTTATACCCACATGCAGCGGTAAAGAATACTACATGTGGAATGGCGATTTATAGAAGATTTACATTTTGTATGCAGTCAACAAATTTATTACGTATAAGGTAAACTGTTTCTATGACTGTAGAAAATGAACTATATAGAGAATGGTTTCTCACCACGTGTTTGGATGAATTTTCTATTAATTACATTTAACTACTTTCAATGTTAAGAACGTGATAATCTTGGTTGTCACATTTTTCATGGTTGCTACAAAAAACGAATTCGTTGCTGTTTTAGAAATTGCTCATTAAATTTGTACCAGAGTGCTTCGAAGAATACATTAAAATCTATAAAGGAGAGCATCTTCCCACTAAAACCAAAGAGACCACTAAGTCCTTTCCTGTTGTTCATAAAAGAAGCAAGAATCAAATTTCTTAAGCAAGATCCTAGTCTCAAACAAACAGAAATAGTAAAGAAAGCATCAAAAGAATGGGCAGAACTAGATCCCAGTGAAAAAGAAAGTTTTCAACAAATATACGATAAGAATTATGAGCTCTATGCTCAGCAATTGAAACAATACAATAATTCTATTACTGATGAACAAAAACAGTTATGGGAAGAAAAGAAACAGCAGTTTAGTAAAAAACTTAAGGATTTAAATATTAAGCAGGTAATTATCTCAACGCATAGTATTGTGTACAAACATTATATTATTTAATTAAGATCAGTGGTTTGAATGTAAATCAAAATTTATTTCAGAAAAGTGATACATTTGGAAAGCCAAAGAAACCACCAAGTGCATTTCTTTCCTATTTGATAGAAATGAAAACTGAGAAAGATCCAACTGTACCTTTTACGGTATGGCTTATTGGTATTCAATCACTACTATTTGATGTCGATAAAATAATCTGTTTGTCATGTTCCTTTCATTATTCTAATACTCTTTTTTTTATTTATTTTTCATTAGGATTGGTTAAAATCAGTGACTAAAAACTGGAATCAAATGTCAGAAGCAGAGAAGAAACCTTATACTGATAAAGTTACAGAATTGATGGTACAGTACAGGAAGGATTTAAATGAGTGGGAAATGAAAATGATAAACTTAGGTCATACCGATATTGTAAGACAAATAACGTTGACAAAACAAAAACGTGTGACAAGTGAACAATAGAAATAAAAGCGAGAGTGTATTATTTTCGTCCATTAATAAAT